TAAGAATAATAATAATAATAAATAAATAAATAAATAATATTTAATAATAATAATAATAATAATTAATACTTAATAATAATAATAATAATAATAAAATAATTAATTATTGATATTTAATAAAAATAAAAATAAAAATAAAAATAATAACAATAATTAATTATTGATATTTAATAATAATAATAATAATAATTAATTATTAATATTTAATATTTAATAATAATAATAATAATAATAATAATAGATTAATAATAATAATAATAATTAATATTTAATAATAATAATAGTAATAATAATAATAATTAATATTTAATAATAATAATAATAGTAATAATAATACTTATAACTAATAATATTAATTATAATAACAATAATTGATTTTTATAATAAAAATTAATATTAAGATAATAACTAATATTTAAAGATAATACTAATTATTAATAATAATAATAATTATATAATATTTAATAATAATAATAATTATAATTAATATTATAAAATAATAATAATTAATATTTAACTTTAAAAATTTAATGATTATAATAATAATGCGATAGTAGTAGCAGTAGTAGTAGCAGTAGTAGTAGCAGTAGTAGGAGCAGTAGTAGGAGCAGTAGTAGAGCAGTAGTAGGAGCAGTAGTAGGAGCAGTAGTAGGAGCAGTAGTAGGAGCATAGTAGGAGCAGTAGTAGGAGCAGTAGTAGGAGCAGTAGTAGGAGCAGTAGTAGGAGCAGTAGCAGCAGCAGTAGCAGCAGCAGTAGCAGCAGCAGCAGAGCAGCAGCAGTAGCAGCAGCAGCAGCAGCAGCAGCAGCAGCAGCAGCAGCAGCAGCAGCAGCAGAGCAGTAGCAGTAGCAGTAGCAGTAGCAGTAGCAGTAGCAGTAGCAGTAGCAGTAGCAGTAGCAGTAGCAGTAGCAGTAGCAGTAGCAGTAGCAGTAGCAGTAGCAGTAGCAGTAGCAGTAGCAGTAGCAGTAGCAGTAGCAGTAGCAGTAGCAGTAGCAGTAGCAGTAGCAGTAGCAGTAGCAGTAGCAGTAGTAGCAGCAGTAGCAGTAGCAGTAGCAGCAGTAGCAGTAGTAGTAGTAGCAGTAGTAGTAGTAGTAGTAGTAGTAAGTAGTAGTAGTAGTAGTAGTAGTAGTAGTAGTAGTAGTAGTAGTAGTAGTAGTAGTAGTAGTAGTAGTAGTAGTAGTAGTAGTAGTAGTAGTAATAATAATAATTGCTCTACATAATCAAATCTGCTTTGCTCTGCTGAAATCTGCTCTGCTCTGCTCTGCTTTGCTCTACTGAAATCTGCTCTGCTCTGCCCAAAAGCTCAAAAGAACAGGGCCTTAGAGTTTCCCCAAACTCTAACCCAATACAACTCAAGATTAAACTCTAAATAAGTACAAAGACACTCAAGGACTTAAGTGGATTATGACTCTTTTGAAGACTTAAAGACTGTAATGTTCAAGTGTACATTCCCAATCAGAAAACCAATCCTATTTACACTAGAAAAGGGAAGTTAAAACACTGTCGTTTGCCTTAACTCCCACTAAGCCACAACTTCCATAAAACTAGGAAATGCAGTTCGTGGGTGCTTGGGCAGCAAGCTAAAACACTTTACAAGGAAGTGGTTTACTGCTTCCTATTTTCTCTCAACTTCCTTGACGAAGTAAAACAACCGTTTTTTAGAAGAGTATTTTCCAAGTCAGATTTTCCAAAATAATAGGATAGAATCAAAACAGAAAATCTTCTTAACTAACAAGATATTTTAACTCAAAAAGATATTTTTCGAAATAAAACAAGTTAAAATATGGAAAATAAAATCTTTATCAAATATAATTAAATCCACTTAAATCCTATTAATTGACAATGTACTTAACATAAATACAAGAAGCCTAAAATAAAGATAAAATACATTAGACTCCTTGAGACACTGTGAAGCTTCGACTCTGGAGCTTCAATTCCTCACTAAAGGAACTTGACTTCTGATTGTCTTCTTTGTTCATCCATAGCCTATCCTTAGGCCTTGTTCCATACTCCATTCTGACTCTAGAACTTCGTTGCATATATAAACCTGTCAATAAATCAAAGCTAATAGACAAAAGTTAAAACACCTATGGGTTTGCTTAGGTTCCTTAAGTCATCATCAAAACTTAAGTTCAACACCCTTTACCCTCCTCATTCCCCAAATCCTTCTAAGTTGATTCCCCAACCCCTAGGTATTTCCCATTTCCATTCCCTTTACCTCCTCATTCCCCAAATTCTTCTAATAAGTTGATTCCCCACCCCCCTAGGTATTTCCAATTTCCATTCCCATTCCCTAGCCACCAATAACCACCATACCACCACCCTCCTACCTACCCAAATCACCGGAAACCCGCACCACTGCACCACGACCAGCCACGTCACCCCTTGCCGCCTCTCCCCCACCCTCGCCGCACCTCTCTTCCTCTCACCGGCCAACCGTTAACTCTCGAAACCCTATCCCCATCCTCGTAGAAACATAAAAAAAAACCCTTCTCTCTCACTGTAAAACGGCCGGTAGGCCCTCCTCCACTGTCGAAATCCTAGGCGCTAGGGTTTCAAAAGTGAGGGAGGGCTGGGCGACGGGTTTTACGGGTGTAAGACTAATTTTTTGGGGTTTTGAGGCTGAGTGATGTTTTCGGGGAGGGGAGAGCTATGGGGGCCGACGAAGGGCGGCGAATGATTGGAAAGGTGCGGCCGACAGTTTTACAAGGAGGGGAAGAGGTTTCTAGGGTTTTTCGCGGGTGTTCAATGTTTTAAGGGGAAGGGGAGTGCTTTCCGGGATAGAGGATAGGCGGCGAAGGGTGGGGGATGTGCGGCAAGGGCCGGCGAGTGAGGCTGGGTGGTGGAGTGGCTGGAAAAGGTTTCAAAGTGAAGAAAATAGTTGGTTCAATGGTGGTGGTGTGGTGGTTTGACTGGTGGTTTGTTTACTTGTGTTTTTAGTAAAACAAATAACATTGTACTTGGAATGATTTTTCTTTCCCTTTGTTTATTTCATTTCGTTTACCCTGTTCTAACCAAACGACCCCTTAAAGAATAGTTGCTGAACTTGGTGAGACCGTGACAAAGACCCATATGTACTGTCTAGTCATAATCCAGTAATAGCCTAATAGGTAATCAACTTTAATCGAATTTATGACGATAAGGTTGTTGCCTTTACTATCTAGATATTTTACAACCCTATTGTAAGGCATGTAAAATATACCTTTGCGCAGGATAGTAATTTTGCTTTGAGAGGAGAGGATTTCTCAAGATTAAAATAGTATGTCGTGATAATTGTGTTGGAGTAAAGAGAGGAAACGTAGTTGACCATAACACTCTAACTCGGTCGGGCAAATCTTTTCTGATCGAGCACGATGACAAATGTTTTTTTTTATTTGTTTAATTGTTTGGTTGGGCAGAGCCCACCCAATCAGGCACAAGTGCAAAGTTGATTTTTGTCGGACTGATTGGAGCTGAACTGAACTGAACTGAACTGAAATCATCGGACACGCATGCAGGTTGAGATTACGTATCACTCTCGCCCAACTTACACTTTTAAATTAGGCGCAGATGCACGTCAGCAGTCCAACAACTCTTTCCTCTTCCTTTGGTTTTGGAAAAGAAATGCATTTTTAGTTAACTTACACTTTTATTTAAAAAATAATTTTCCAATTTTGAATTTTAAAAGACAAAAAAATAGGGATATAAAATTATATCATAAACAATTTTGGCTATGTACAAAGAAAAGCAACATGTACAAAGATAATGTAAGCGGTTTTTCACTCAAGTTATACTACATAGTCACTATTCACATAAACCACTTTGACTTCATTTTGAAATTTTGTGTTGAATAAATACATAGTCATGTAAGATCTTATTAGATTCATCTCAGACTCTACTGTCCAAATATCAAAATTCATAATTTTTGTTAATACATAACTAAAGATACTCTAATTGAAATAATGAAAAGGCTAGTTGATGAATATGACGCATACAACAAGAAAATTTATGGAATAGCAGGCAGAAAAGCAACTAGCAGCCCGAGCAAATGGCTTGCACCAGGGGCAGGCTTAGTGAAGCGGAATGCAGATGCGAGTTTGGTGGAGGAGGGTTGGGTGGGATTAGGGGTTGTAGCTCGAAACAGCAGGGGTGAGGTGTTGCTGTCTGCAGTGAGAAGAGTGCGAGCAATGTGGCCACCTGAAATCGCAGAGGCTAAGGCCTTGGCTATGGCTGTAAAGCTTGCGACGACTTACGACTTTGCTGATGTTATTCTGGAATCAGATTGCCAAATTCTAGTTAATCGACTTTCAAAGGTTGCGGTATACTTCCCTGATTTGGATGGTGTGATTGAAGACGTATTGTCTTTGAGTAGTGCTTTTAATTCTTTCTCTTGGTCACATGTGAAACGTGATGGAAAACTTTATTGCTCATCACTTAGCTAGATTACTTTCTTTTGGTGTTGAACAAGTTTGGATTAATCATTTTCCAAATGAGGTTGCTCCTTATGTACTCTCAGACTCTTTATTGATTGACTAATAAAATTGCTCTATGTGATTCCCTCAAAAAAAAAAAATAAAAAAAAAAAAAAATAAAGATACTCACATTTAAAAGTATGTTTTGACAAACATGCCTAAATGAAATGTGCCAACTAATAAAAAACAGAAGAAGTATTTAGTACTCCTTTCGTCCCTTTATAATATTCATTACTCACATAATAAAAAGAAATAGACTTCTAATTTAGAGATGGAGAGAGTACTTCTAATAATGATTAATGAGTGAAGGAGATGTGTACACATAAAATGATCTATTTACCCTTTTTTTTTTTGTTTGAAACTACCTATTTACCTTAATGGGTGTGATGTCCAATCTAGAGGCATTGGATTGTTCGCATGAAGGTGTAGTATAACCTTAGTTATTATAGAAATAAAGAGGTATCGATTCCCTACAACAAAGAATAGACTGTAGGCCAATGGCATGGCTCAAATGCTTTGCTTCGGAATTGGGGACAAGTTGTTCAACTTGATCATTCAACATCCCATTTCCCCATCTCATTAAATGCATCTAGCCATTCATATCCCTCAATAGATATCCTTGAAGTACAAATATAATCTTAGAGATGGGAAACCCTTGTACGCAAAAAAACATCCAAACATACAAGGTTCCAGGTCTTGCTAAACAGTTAGCCTGCTTTTTTAGCCTAAATAAGAAGCAGCAGCTAAATTAGAAGTCGAGTTGTTCACAAAATACCAGCATCCAATAGCAACTTAGTACATGTCTTATAATCTACTTTATATTAGGGTACACAATGAGAACTCACAAAAACCTCAACCCTTTTTTCAGTTTCATGACAGTCCTGTAAGCCAAGTGCTGAGCAGCTGGGCTGATGCTGTTTTTCATGTGACAAGCTGTTGTGCTCATAAACCGTACAGGATTCAGCAACCCCATTGAATTACGCACGGGACGGTAACCACTTTGTAATAGCTGAAAAGAGACAAAGTGGTGTCACAATCCATGACCACAAAATGAGAAAGGACAAATAACATACACCATAACCTTCACCACCCCCCCCCCTCTTCCTCCAACACACTCATTCTTTAAACTAGCAGAGAATTAAAAAAAAAAAGCAAAATATTTCAAATTCCCATTGAAAAAAAAAAGTTGAGATTGTTGCTATGAATTTTGCATGACAAGGGTGCTGATATGTGCATATCCATAGTTTTTTGTTCCATAAAGCTGAGTTTAATGAATTTTCTGAAGACACGAGTACTTGTTTTGGAAATAAATAAAGGATGAGGTGAAAGGACTAAATCATCTCAGGAAAAATAAAAGTAGAAGAATCAACATATAGGGCAGCCTTGTGCAAGTTCAAGAATACCCTTCATAAATTCAACAACCCATAATGTAACCCCTCTATAAAGCCGCTGGTGAAAAAATATAGGAAGTATCACATATCCAAACCCACAATCCTATAGCAGTAATCACATAGCCAGTGGCAGATCTTGAGAAGTTTTTATAGAAGAGCAAAGAGTATTTACATAATACAATATTAAAAGTTGCGAATTTCATGCGAGGGATTAAAATATTAAAAGGGATATGGAAGAGGCTTGCAGTGAATCAGAGCCTGAGCACTGAGCATGCATTTCTGTGTGATAAACTAAAATACGCATTTAGATTTTTGCAAGTAAACAAAAAAATCCTAGCTTGTTGACAGTGGAGTGGCGGGAAACCACTATAGAAGAAGGTAGAGAAAGAATATACAAAATAAAACACATGCAATAATATCTTTAAAATAATTAAATTCGAGACATAGGCCTTTCTTGTAAGCACATCATTTTTAGTATTAAATAGCACAGCATATTATGCAATAGCCATTTGCCAATCTTTCTTAATATCTATATATGGCTCTTCCAACAAACTTGTTTGAGGCATTATATTTAACAGCAAATAGCATAACAATTCTGCTCAATTACCAACATAAACAGACTTACAAAATTGGAGAAAGAATCTCCAGCAGGGGGAACATTTAACCAATCTCCCTTTTTTGACTCAAAGCGCGCTGGAGCTATAATTCCAAACACCAGCACAGAAGGATTAGTACTTCTCATATAAGTATGCACCCAAAAAGTCAAAGGGCCAAGGAATTTCATAAGAACAAACTGAAATAGTTACCTAAAATCTTCGAGGATAGCGAGTTAATTTTGGACACAGCACGATGTTCTCTATCAAATAAACAATGGAACAAACAAACATAGAAGAAGCTTTAAAATTTTGCCCTTAAACAATGAGAAAGCAAGTGGAAATTGAACCCCAATCAGAATGAAATAGAACATACCTGAAATAGATATCTAATTTGAGGTCACCATGAATCACATGAACCTTGGATTTTTTGAGCAACTCACAAACATCAGCAATTGCTTCTTCCATAGCCACCTGAAAAGAGGTAAAGAAATACTATCAGCTGTTCAGGAGTTCATTATCATTTTGCTGATTAATGGTAAAATACCAGTAAACCTACGTACATTTTTCTGCATTGAGCTACAATACAGGCCCAAAGCATCACCAGCTCTCTCAAATACGTCAAGTAGTTGTCGTGCATCTATAAGAATGTTTTTGTACTCAGCTTGTTCACTTCCAATGTCAGTTTTAGAAAATGAATCGATCTCATTTGCTAAGCGTTGGTGAATGGTCAAGCCTACAAAACAACAGAGAAACACTATAGTTTATAATATTGGTTCATAGAATTAGCATATAGATGCAATTTACACTATACCTGTGTCAAACGGAGCCATAACCTTTTCTCGGGCAACCAAAAGCAGAGCCCCAAACTGTTTCAATGCTCCAAAGTTAACAAAAGTCCAAGCAATATCGTTGATTGAATCAGTGTATTGGGCAAGCAACCGTGCAGAGTCCAATATCGGTTTCTACATCAAATTTTGTTTAAAGAAATGTAAGATTGCATAACCTTGAAGCAAATAAGAAATGTAAGATTGCATAATTTTGTTTTTCCTTACCTTTAAAAAAAAAACAAAATAAAAATGGACACAGGCCAAAAAGACTCATCGTTAATGGCAAATGATACTTGCTATCTAAGGAGCCATTGCAAGCTTTAAGAGAGAATAAGTCAATTGAAAAGCTTGATGGACTAAAATTGTAATAATAAACAACTTAAAAATCAACTTCCTTTCGATAGACTGAAGTTGATAAATCAAAATTAAATGTGTTTACAACATTGGTGAAAGTTTACCATTGGAGTGGAAAATTGATGTAGCTAGATTAAGCACCAAGCTACGTTGCTTGATTTTTCAAAGATAATATCACCCATTAAACATATGACATGTGTATAATAAAAACTATTTTAATTATATATAATTTTTCCAAGCTACAATATGCTAGTATTAACCATTGGAGCACTTTGTAGCTATAAAATATATTAGCTTGAATAGTTGATGTGGCAAGGTAACCATTGGACATGCTCTTAAAAAACAAGAAGAGTGAGAAATAACCAACCAACCGTTTTCCATTGGCAAAGTAAAATAATAAGTTTGATGAGATAGTCGCCGCGAATCCAAGGGTACAAATGCTCCAAATAACTCAAATGGAGCAGGACAAAATGGATTGGAAGACCGTGTACTGATGCAAAAGAGCAAGTGACATTAACAAGAGGAATAGCGTTGCATCGGTTGAGCATTAGATGAATAATTTGAGGGTCGGGACAGGAATGAGCAACATAGGTGAGAGCATTAGATGAAGGTGAGTGATCATCAACAAGTGCAGGAAGAGCATCGCATTCGCATACTTCCCCATTGAGCAACGCAAGCAAACACTTCTGGGCACCAAATTCAGCACACTTTTCTACCAAAGATTTCGTAATCTCACTTGGATGTTTTTGAATCAGCTTCACAAAACGACCCTTGCTATCGCTATCAAGGGTCCTTTCCAACATATCACTAAATCCTCCACCTTTTCTCATCCTTTATCCACAAATTAGGACTTCCTACATATTCCAAAACAATGGCAGACAATTAAAGCTCGGTTATTTCACAAAAACATAAATTCTTCATTTTTTCACAATTTCTGAACAAAAAGACTCCATCTTTTGCACAAAAAAAAAAAAGAAAAAGAAAAAGACTCCATCTTTATCAGATCTGATTCACGATTAATAAATCCACAAAAGACACTCAAACAAAAGCTTATAAAATCATTCCAACAACAAAAAAATTAGCAGAAACACGAAACCAGAAAAACCAAAATTGAGTATTATAAATGGAAATTCACTTGCAAAAATCTCATCAACGGTACTGGCTAACCTTCAACTCTGCAGACAACAAGGCAGGGAGAAGAGAGAGACGAAGATATAGTCGTATCCTGAATTTTGCCCTAGTTGTTACGAGTGGTTTTTTTTTTTTTTTTTTGGTAAAGGAGCAACAAAGGAAAGGTGTGTGAGAGAGAGAGATAGAGAGACCAAGTAGGCTTCTCTTTAAGCTTTTTTTTTTTTTTTTTTTTTTTTTTTTGAGGTCATCATGTAACTTAATCGGTTAATCCCTTTTCTTCTCTTGACGCTTGGTGGTTCGTTTGTCATAAAAAAAAAAAAAAAAAAAAAAAAAAAAGAAGTTGGTAAGTAATTATAGGAATGAAGGAGAAATCTATATCTATATCTATACTCTATACTTAGTATTTAAAAACACAAACCACAAATCTACACTAAGTCACATGTCACCATAATCAATCATATGCCACATGTCACCTCTCTTAATCTTTTTTAAATTCTCATTTTAATATAAAAACAAAATATATAAATAATGTTTGAGTCTTAATCTTTAGGCATTCTAAAACTTACAAATTTAAGTAAGAACATTAAGTGTTTCATATTCAATATAGTAAATTAAAGTTAAACTAATTAGCGTTCATTACATTAACAATAAAATAGTTTTTTCATCTCCTTAACTTAAATATAACTTAAACCAATGTGTCATTTCATGCCCTACAATATCTATATGTATTTATACCTAGCTAAATTCCACAACAACACCGACACTTTTCAAGAAAAATAACCTAAGTAACAACCCGTGCATCGAACGGGTCATAAGGCTAGTTACTATGTGAGTGAGAGACCAACTAGGCAAGTACTGCAGTAACACTAAGAAATTACTACGTACTGTATAAAACAAGGGACTAAACTTTGCCCAATGTTGCAAATAAGGGACTGGACTAGAGGTGTCAAAACCGAACCGACCCGAAAAAATTATCCGTTTCGAACTGTAACCGATCCGATTTGATTCGAGAAATTCAAGACCCAAACCCGATTTGTAACCGAACTGAACTCAACCCGAATCCGAACTTGACTCGATCTGAACTTAACCCGGCACCGATTTGATCCGACCTGAACTCAACCCGAATCCGATTTGACCCGACCTGAACTCAAATCAAACTGATTTGACCCGACTCGAGCTCAACCCAATCCGAAATTGACCCAAAAAATAATCGATCTAATCCGATCTGTTTTGACCCGAACTGATATTAACCCGATTTGATTTTACCCGATCCGAATTTAACCCGATCATAATTAATTATTTACTTTTTTATTCAAGCTCTTATACTATATATTTACTAATTATTAATAAGTTAACTTTTTTACTACAAAGAAATAATCTGGAGTCTTAAGTTTACTTCATGTACATATCAATTATATTAATTTACTTTCTAAGCTTTAATAAATGCCACAAGATCTAATAAACCTAAACATTAAGCGGGAGTTAATTGATTTGCTTATAAAGCTCTAGTTAAATGCTGCCCAAAGCCTATTGTCATTTATAATGAATTTCCTCCCATTCTGTTATATTTTATTGACCCTATAATAAGTTAAAAACTAAACAATATCTCTAGTTTAAAAATAACCTTATTTGGATATGAATTTGGTCAACTCGACCAAAATCCAGCCAAACACAAAAAGGAATTGAACCGAAATTGACCGAACCGAAATCATCCGAATCAAAATCAACCCGACCCAAATTCATCCAACCCGAAGTTACCCGCCTAAACCCGTTTTAAACCCGATCCAAATACATCCGAACCGAAAGTGAATCGATCTGAAGTTGACCCGACCCGTATCCGACCCGGACTCGATAGACCATGACCCGAATTTAACCCGACCCGAAATTGATCCGATCCGACCCGATCCGGGTTAAAAGGATAATTTTGATCCGAACATATCCGACCCGAATAGACCCGACCCAAACTCCATCCGGTTATCCGAATTGACACCTCTAGACTGGACTACCTAGTAATCTAGTATTGCAAAAAAGGGACTGGACTGTCGAAGAGGTATGTGGATTTTTTTTTTTTTTGTAGAGCCAAAAAAAGGATGATTTTAACTTTCATTATTCACACCACAAACATATTAACAGTGACTAAAATTAGAGCCAGCAAAAACTGAAATAATACGACAACACGAAACAAATGAGACACGAAAAAATCGAGTTAGTGTCAAGGGTTTACAATATGTTCAATTAAACGGGTCAACACAACACCGCACGTAAGCAAGTTGAGTTTGTGTTGAGATTTCCAACTCATAACTAACACGACTCAACCCGCCTAAGAAAAAAAAAACAAATAATTTATGGAATTAATGAAACATATTTCGTACGAGGCTAACACTTTTTTATATAATACGACAACATGACATAAACCGAATATGGAAAAAGCAATTTAGTGTCAAGGGTTTCCGACATGTTTATTAAACAAGTTAACATAACACGACACATTTTATTAATGGGTCAAGTTAGTATTGAGATTTACCAACCTGTTTAACTTTGAACATGAATACAACACAAGTACACAACTCAACTCGTTTGCCACCATTAAGCCTATAACTATAACAAATCAAGTATTCTTTTGGAGGTAAAATTAAAGACAAAGTTTAAATGGAGCCACAATCGGAAGAAGACTTCAGAAAAGCATCTAGTTTTACAAAGGCTAAAGAACAGAACAACTTTGACACTAATTATGGCTATGTACCTAAAAGGTCAGCACAAAGTGGGCCGGGCCATGCTTCGTATTATGTCAAAATGGGTCAAGTAACAGTTGTGTCGTGTTGGACTTATGTCAATCTTTTATAAACAAAACTCATGCATGTGCCATGCCAGCAAGGTTAGTGAGATTTTTTTTTTTCTTTTCATAAATTGGTCAAAAATATATGAGCTGACCCGTCATTGCAAAATGAAATTGAAAAGCAAATACAAAAATAAATCTTGCATATCCAACATCATGAAGCGATATCAAAACATTCTTATTATGTACCAAGATGAATGCATACTCTTAATATTGCTTTGGAAGCGAGTCTTCGTAACGTAGTGCTTGAGGTGGATTGCTTAGCTCTCTTTTACAAGCTGAAGAATAAAAAAACGCGAGAAGTCGAGCCTTGGGAACATCGTGGGTGATATCCTTCACCTTGGTCAACTGTGCTCTTCAATAGATTTTTCCCTTGTTGGGAAGAAGGGGAATGGTGTTGCTCACATTTTAGCAAATATTAGCAGTAAAGAGTGTGAATGTGTGATGGTTTAAGAGTTTGGTTTGAGGATGTTCCTCCAAACATTGTTACTGCTGTAACTTTTTATGTTACTTACTTTCCTTTACTAAAAAAAAAGGTGAAGCTTCTGAGGAAAAGATTATGCTTTTAAGCGTTGTGCATTACACACTAAAACCCTTGTTTGTCCAACATTCCTGTAACTGTAAAACATGTACGGAGTACTATTTACATCTTAACCCTGTATATAATCAAAGACAAATTACAGAAGTCTGATGCCAAAACTGCAAAATTTAAATTGAAGAACAAATGCAAAAATATAATTTTCATATAGAAACTCATGTGCAAAAAAGAATAAGGTTGAGTTATATAGACCAGAAATCTACAATTTAGCAGCAAAGCCTCAGGATTTCTCATTAAAGCAGCATTTCATCTATCATGAACCATATAATATACGAGTAGCATATGAACCAAATGAAACCTAAAAATTAACTAATAACCTTGACAAATAAACAAACCCTTTGCTTAAGCACAAAAGAATTTATTAACAAAACTAATATCAACTCAAGGATATTTGTGTTGTTACAAGACTCACAGCTACTTAGTTTCAGGCTTCGGCTTAAGAAATAGGTTACCTCATACCATCCTTCACCTGTAATTTCTTCGGGGTATACGACTATTCAAAATACGACCAAGGGTAGCTAATGCATCCTGAAATTTACGAATTTTCATAAAACCCTTTATCATGGAAACCTCGTTTTCTGAGAACTTTGCTTGTTTCATGATCATATGAACAAGCTTCATTAGAGCATCTTCCATCCCTAGTGAACGAAGACCATCTGCTAGCATCATAAAAGAAGAGAACTCTGGTATAAATCCTTTCTCCAGCATCTCAACTAGAAAATCAACAGCTTCTCCAATAGGACCTCCACTTGAACAAAGACCACGAAAAATTATCTTATGAGTTACAGCATCTGGAGGGTCACCCTTCTCCACCATTTCTCTGTAAAGCCTCATCGCTTCTTTTGATTGTCTCCTTCTAAAAAGAGCCTGTATCACGGGGTTATATGCATGAGGGGTTAGAATCATTCCTTTCATCTGAATGCTCCGAAGGAGTCGAGTGGCAACCTCAACTCGACCAGCTTTACAAAGCCCCTGAATCAAGGTCCCATAAGTAACAATATCAGGCTCACACCCATTTGAAGTCATTGTTTGCACTATATCTGCTGCCTTCTTAATATCTCCTGCCCTACAAAAATGAGAAAGCAAGGAATTATAAGTAAATTTATCGGGTTTTAACCCTTCCATTATCATCTGGTCCATCAGTTCAGCAGCATCTTCCACCCTCTTAATTTTACAAAGACCATCAATGAGGGTGTTGTAAGTAACCAGGTTTCTTGACACCCCTTGCAGTTCCATCTGATCAAAAACCTCTTCGGCATCTTCTATCCTCTTGTTTTTACAGAATCCGTCAATTAATGTATTATATGTCACCACATTTCTTGCACAACCACTTGATTCCATTTCCTTTAGCAAGTTCAAAGCTTCATCAATTTTCCCTCTAGAACAAAGGCTGTCTATCAGCATATTATAAGTAAATTCATCAGGCTGACACCCATCATTTTTCACATCTCTGAATAGCTCCATAGCAAGCTTGTGGTTTCTGGACAAGCAAAGACCTTGTATGATAGAATTGAATGTACATACATCAGGCAAAATTCCCTTGCTTGTAAGAAGGCGCACAAATTCAGTGGCTTTCTCAACTTGATTCTCTTTACACATGGTGTTAATCAGAGTATTATAGGTAACAGTATTCGGTGTGCAACCCCGTAAAACCATCAACTCAAGCACTTCCATTGCCTCTTCAATTTCACCCATTTTACACAGCCCGGATATTAGAGCATTATAAGTATATATATCCGGATCAAACCCTTCTTCTAGCATAGCATCTAACACCTCTAGTGCATGTTTAACATGACCCAATTTGCACAAACCACTAACTAGAGTGTTAAATGTAAAATGATCAGGATGAAATCCCTCAGCAACCCTTTCCTGAACGAAACCCAACGCTTCTTCTATCTTTCCCTCCTTACAAAACCCATAAACCAAAACATTTTCAGTCACATTGGTCGAAACACAACCAGCTCCCACCATTTGTTCTCTAATTCGTAAAGCGCCGTCCACATTCCCTTCCTCAATATAACCCTGCATAATCGTCGTGTACGTTTTCTCATCCGGGGTCAATCCATACCTTTCCATCTCCTCCATCATAATAAGGGCAGGCCTAATTTGATGAGCTTTGCAAAGCCCTTTAATCAATATATTAAATGTGGAAACATCTTTCTTAACTCCACTTTCTACCATTTTTGAATGAACAATTTCCACTAATTTCAATTTATGCCCATCAACAAGAACATTCAACAAGAAATTAAAGGTATGAGTCCCACATTTAACCCCATATTCTTTCTCCATCATATCAATCACATAAACAGCTTCATCATACAAACCACAATTAACATAAGAATCAATGAAAATCAAGAAAGTACCTTCATTAATTTCACAACCTAATTCCTTCATTTCATCCAAAACCCTTTTCATTGAATCAAAAGACCCTTCATTTCCAAGCTTTCTAAGAACTTCCTCAATAATTGACAAAGTGGGTGTGAAATTAGACTGTTTTGAAGCCCAATCAAACACCCAGAGTGCCATTTCTGCATCTTTCTCTCTCCTCAAAGTTTCAAGCAGCTGTTTTGGAGTAAAATTTGGGGGAAGTTGATGGGCAGAATCAAATGACAATGAAGAAGAAGAAGAAGAACTGGGATTTTGAGCTAATGAGAAGGAGATTAATGGGGAAGATTTGGAATTTGAAAAGAAAATTGAATTTGATGGAAATTTTTGAGGTATTGGACACGGATAAGGTTTAAGGTGAGCAGAAAAACACATTGAAGCAGCCATTTTTATGGTAATTACACTATGAAATAAAGAAGATTCAAGAAAACAAACCAAAATTTATGGAAGATTTAAACATGCCAAGAAGAGAGACATAGGAAAACTTACTGTACTGCTGGTCTGCTGCTATTTTGCCGGGGTCTGCTCAAGTGACCATTTTTAGATGAGTGAAGCAGAGTTCATCGGATGAGGGAAGCAGAAAACACTTGTATAAGGCAGTAAAGGCACTATCCCAAAGTTTACTTTTTTTTTTTATTTGTTCTATTAATTGTTAGCCGTATGACATTGACTTTTACATTAATCACACCGATCATTACTTGTAATTACGGAGTAATGTACAGCTGTACTGTAGTTTTTACAATATGGAAAAATTACTTATGTATTATATTATAAGGCGGATCGGAGGGAGCATTATTATTTTTTCTGGGAGCACTTAAGACGTACTTTGATTGTAACTATTTTTATGATATCATTAATATCTACGAGTAAAATGATTAAGAAACTCGTCAGGACTAATGATAGCAAATTTTAAGATTTTTAACCACTTGGGTAGTGTTAGAGAATGATATGTAGTTTAAATTTCTTAAGTTGCCTAAAAATTTCTCCAACAAACCTAAATTGCCATTGCATATATTATAATTATTGTTATTAAAAGAAACAATTAGCAAAATCTAATTAAGTTTTGTCATGACATAAAGTGATGAGCTAGTCGATCACACATCAAGGTTGACAAGTGATGAGTGATTACTTAGGGATCAGAATTCCACAAATAAAGTAAAGGGACTAAATTTTCAAAAAAATTCTCATGACAATTTAATCAAGTAGCAAATGTTGAATTTAACCAACTAAATTAATCGATATTTTGACAAAATAAAGCCTTTGATTGATAATTGAAACAAAATGTTTACTAAAAATGTACTCCGTAGAAACATAAGTTTGGTTCTCAATAGTTTGTTACTAGTGTACGTGTTTTTGTTAGGATATAATTTGAGAACCAAGCTAACCAAACTATAGAATTCGATCAAAGGAAGATCCAATTTGTGACTAACGTAAAAGGGCATAAATACATGGTCAGATAAAAAGAGATGTAATTACATGCATACTAGCAAAATTATAGATTAACTGATAACACAATCATAATTATATAACGTTGAGCGGATCCAATTTGTTACTAATGCAAAAGGGCATGACATATTACATTCCAAAAACTACCAAATAAAGTCAATAAACAAAGTTATGCACGCCTTCATGAAGCTTGGAAACGGAAGCAGTAGCCACCTTCGCCACACCTTCTCCATGGTTCTTGGCTATCGAGTCAGCAGCAACAACAGCAGAAGCGGTTGCAGCAGTAGCAGTAGCCACGGTTCCAATCACCGGCCCAATAATAGGAACTACGTTGACAACAGGTACAACTGCAGCTGCTACTGGAGCTGTTACATTAGCTACTTGAACAATAACTTCCCAAATTCCCATTTTCCTTGCATTAAGCAACTAACGTACCTGTTATATTATATTAATCGTGGTTTTGAGTTGAAGTTATAAATTAAAGATATGAGAGATTATTGCTAAGACGAGTAGATTGGTAATGTATTTATAGTGAATTTTTTTTTCACTGAGTAGCCTAATAGGTAGGAGTATTTAATATACTGTTATGTACAATTGGTAAGGCACATACGGAGTACTACGTATTTAATTTTCTTACATTTTCTATGATATTAATTACGGAGTAAGTAGGAACGGTTACAAAAAAAAAAAAAAAAAAAAAAAATTACTCCTAAGTAGGATCAATTATACAGAGTATATTGAGTTTGGGAAATTTTTGGAAAATAGGAGTTATTGAAACAACAAAACTACGAGCCCATTAAGCTTATTGATTTTTAAGGTCATTGGAATTTTTTAAAAATGAATGAAAATTAATGCCGCAATAGATCTTGAAATTAATTTTGATCTTGAAACTCCTAAAGCCAGTTATATAGACTCCGTAGCAGTAAATTCTTTGACTTTCCAAGAAAATTGTACCTTTAGAGTATCGATTTATCATGTAAAATTTGAATCATGTTAAATTATTATGTCCATTTTATCAGTCTATCAAATAGCTTGAATTGAGTTATTTTGACACCTCTATCATTATACTCTATATACGGAGTACATTTCATTTATACTCGTACTTTGTTTTAGTATAACAGGGTCGTTAAAAGGTACAAATAAGTAAAGAACTTTACACAAGGCCGGGTTAATAATAGAGATTAGAGAGGGTTTATTGCTCACTATTATTTGTTTGTCACTAGTTAAACCATGCTACAATCGATGAACATCCTTGGGAGTTGGGGTACTTCATTCTACCATATCATAGAGATTAGAGAGTATTTATTGATCACTGTATTCTTGAAACTTCTGTAAAATTACAGCAATAATACATCATTGCATATAACAAATACTTCTAGCTAGAATTAGGAACGATCCAAGCAATATAATTACTAGAACAGGCATGAAAAAAGAAACATTATTATTGTAAATTAAATTATCTTAATAATTCTCCTAGGACTCAAGTAAACGTACTTAGCTTGCAATTGAAAAATTATTTTGGTACGTAAATTATTCTTTTTTAATTAAAAGGCGCGGGAGCAATAGCACCCCCATCGCTCCCAGGGGAAGGAAACAAAGGTGGAAATGCCCCGCCGCTGCCACCACCACCACCACAACCACCACCACCAATACTAGGTGGAAAAGGATTTGGTAAAGGCGACGACAAAGGTGGAATTGGAAAACCACCTCCACCTCCACCGCTACCACCACCACCTCCGCCACTCGAACACAAGCTCTTAAAAAAGGGGACTATAAAAGGATTTTCAGGAAGTAGTTTAGGTAAACATTCATCATGAATTTCCTCTAAAGCCTTGCAACATGGTTGACTTAACTTCCCTAGATTACCCCAAAAGCTAGCAACACACTTTTCTATATCTGATATGGGTGGAATGCACCCTTGAATAGCATCATTTGGTATGGATCTACCACCATATCCAATATCAAATAAGAGTGTCATGCTTAAAATAAGGGTTAGATATTTAAACCCTATAATCTTTGAAGAATAATTTTTTGTCATGGTTGGTTTAATTTATGTAGCTGTAGTTGTTTTGGTTTAATTTGTGTAATTTTGTCAAACAAGATTCGTGAGGTTTTAAATAGTGTAATTTGGATTGTATTATAACTCCTTAGCTTGGGTAAATTAATTCTTTTGAACGGTTGATTGAATGCATATGTTTTTCTAGGTTAATGCTAATTACTCAATTCCTTATAAGTTTTACTTTTTATGGTGTAATGTAACATATGTCTTACTAAAGTTTTCAATTTATCAAATTTAATAGAGCATCATCAAATCGGTAATAATGTTGATTGAATTTGTTGAGGTTGATCACTTGATATATATAACACGGGGAATCCGAAGAATGTATAGTACTTGAAATGACTAGGGGTGCTAATTAATCGAGCGAGTCAATCACGAGTAAAGAGTTGCTCGACTTGAGCGTGCTCGTTAATTTTATAGTCGAACCGAGTTGTTCGTTTGCAAGATTAGGTCTCTTGAATTTCAAACATTTATTGATTATAATTTCTTCTCTTTATATAAAATTTCCTACTTAAGTGTACTATTGGTAAATTTTTATTTTTAAAGATAGAAGAACTGAAAAATATTAAATTCCTTTTACACTAATCAATTTTCGAGCTAAAGCACGAGCCAACTCGATCGAGTCGAGTTCGAGCTGTTTGCAAGTTACCCTACTCAATTAGCAGCCCTAGTAAAGACGTATTGACCAAGGTATGATAAATTATATGTTCCTGATTCCTGACCACCACATATGCGGCCTCTTGGAGTCCCTTGGGAGTTGGGAAGCATGGAATATATATATATATAGGAATGCAACTCAATGTTTAACCTAGTTGGATTTGAATTCCATGTCTAATCTTGTCGGATTTAAAATTATTCTCCATGGACTATTGAAATAAAACTATATATGTAGTATAATAAACGAAATCAAATCATATTTTTTTTGGATCTATCTTGGGACATGATGTTGATAGCTCAAAAGTAATACTCCGTAGTGTGTAATATATTTTGAAGTCCTCATTAAAATTGTTTAAAATCTTAGTAGTTGGTCACATAAATGCTCAAGATGAATTTGAATTAATGATGAGATCAGCCATGTCCATATATAATTGATTAAAATGATACCATAATCCTCTATAAAAGTATGTTGAGACAATGAGACTTAAAAGAGTCGAAAAAAAGGAAAAGTAGTTCCTTGACTTGCATGGGAGTATCTTGGTGCATGTTAATTTTATGTTTGATGTTACACGAATTGAAGCAGTGCAAAGCTTCCTTTGTTAAGTTTATTATTGTTTCGGATGAAAACAATGGGACCTTGCCGAAGGTCCGATGAAGTGGTGAAGACTGGATTCGGTCCAAGTGATGTTGGGCCGAAGGTTTCCTGCACAGCAAACACACGTAAACTAGCCTCGGGGGTGTTGCCGAGGAAGGCCCCTCCGATGCTAAAGTCAGTACAGTGTGTAGAGAGAGAAAGCTATGCAAGAGAATTAATTGCTTGAGGCTTTGTGTATTCCATGTACAAATGTAATATTGATGGCTTTTATACCTTTGCATATATGGAGAATGTGGGCCTTGGCCCAATTGACTTGCCTTGTGGACTGATCTTGATTTTAGCACAATTGGAGAGTTGAACCTTGACCTTGGGCTTTTAATTGGATCATTTAATGACTAGGCCCAATTGGACTAAATTGGACCCAAACAACTTGCCCCCCAGACCCGATTTGGAAGGATGACGGGTCGGGTTTGATTAATCAGAAAAGGAGGGAAGTAAATGATTTAATTAATCCAAGAAATTTGGATTTAAACCGTAATTAATGAAATAACAACGGTTGGGCGAATAATTGTGGAAGTTGGACGGATAATGGGCGGTTTAATCACGAGGTCGTGTGTTTAACGGTTACTTAGTGGGGTGTTTAAGAGAAATTGAAGCGCGGACTCCCAGAATTCCCATTTCTGGAGATATAATCAGAGGCGCGTCATCTCTCCTCACTTCTTCACCAACACAAACCCAGAATTCTCGAGAAAACCCAAGAACCCGCGTCAAAACTTCGCAAATTCCCCGAGCATTAAGCTTAGAAACTGAGACTCGTCACTACCAATTCGTAAATCGGCAACTTTCGCTTCAGATTAAGGTAATTTCCTTTGATTTTAGTTTATTTTTCTTCGAATTTGAATTCTTTCCCCTTTTTTCGACTTTTTTCTTCGAAACTCATCCATGGTGA